GCGGCCGGCGCGTTAGGCTGACAACTTTACCGCCATCTTTGAGTCGATTGTCTAGATAATGTGGGACCCTCAACATCTCACAACCCTAGGGGCCTTCACGGCCTGTTACAGGGATAGCTTTACTTTTTTTCTACTAATATTATATTGAGTTGAATCACATGTTTTCAAACAAATATGATATATTAGTTTTGAGCTATTTCATACTATACTCTTTATTTAAATGATCACATAACCTCTATCATTTGACCAAGTGTTAATTCTCTAGCTGAAAAGAATGAAATAGAAGCTGATATATCATTAATTAAAGTATTTTTTTTATTGCTAGTGGGGTGGGACTAAGTCCCTTGTACTGTGACCACTTCTGGCCTATTGTACCAGCCCCAGATGATAGGTGAGGGTGATTGTGGAGCAATTGGTTGAATGAAGATTGGCAGGGGAAACCAAAGTACTCAGAGAAAACCTGCCCCAGCGCCACTTTGTCCACCACAAATCCTACTTGACCAGACCCGAGATCGAACCCGGGCCGCCGCGGTGGGAAGCCAGTGACTAAGCGCTTGAGCTGTAGCACAGCCCTTTGATTAAACTAAATTAGTCTTTAACTGAATCACCATCAAGATTTTCTTTGTGAAACACTGAATTCTCACACAGTGCAAAAAATGAATCTTTTATAATGTATAAAGATCAAATTTGCAATAGAATATGCTATGTAAATTGCCATATTTATCTTGCATATTTGTAGAAATGTAGGAGGTACTGAGGTCCATACCTCTTCCTAAATAATTTTTTCATAGTTGTCCCCTTGGCATCAGCCTCTTCATAAAACATGAAATTAGCAATTCTTACTATGGCCTTTTGAAACAGCTACAAATATGTCAACAAGAAGTATGCGTCTCAGAGAGGGTTTGGTTATTTTTACCGAATTTTACTCCTCGATTTTAAACTTACATTAGATGAAGTTCTTTTCCTTAATATTAAGTTACCTTCATATAACAAGAGCCAGGATATCTCAGTCGGTATAGCAATGGGCTACAGGCTGGACAGCTGGGGTTCAATTCCATGCAAGGGAAACAGATTTTTCTCTACTCCACAGCATCCAGACTTGCTCTGGTGCCCACCCAGCCTCCTGCAAATAATTATCGGGGCTGTTTCTCCAGGAGTAGATCTGCCAGGGCATGAAGCTGGCAACTCATCTCCTAGTGCTGAGGTCAAGAATGGTGGAGGTATACCTCCATTCCCCCATATGTCTTCATGGTTTAGCGCTTAGCTTATTAAACACAGGGACAACTTTAACTTTACCTCTTACCTTATCTAAGTATAACATTAAGAATACAAGCTTTTCAGGACTGGAAGTCTATGCAAAAAGAAAGTAAGTTTATCACATCTATTCAGAATTCCTTTTGCCAGTTTAAACCTGCTTAGGATTTTATTTTGTGTGAAAAAGTTAGAGGCTTTAAACATAGGCCAGTATAGAAAATACAGTGGCAGAAAAAAATAAGAAATTATAATAGCAGTGATGGTAGTGCAGTTCTAAAGGGGAACCCTGTGAACTTCCACTCTACTTCCAAAACTTGCAAATATTTCGATATATCATAACAGTATTTCATAAAAAAAAGACAGTGTTAAGGTTTATGCAGACAACAAGTTAGGAAATAGCGTAATAATTCGGTGCCTTCCATATGTCCAGCGATTCTCGAGATGGCAGACTGAATTTGCTGATTATCTCGAAAACCACAAGAATTACGAAGAGAGTATGTTCGGCGTAAACTATTTCGTGTTTCTTTGAAAACCTTTTCGCCCCGAGAAGTTTCAGTGAGTTACGCTCCGGTTACTGCAGTGGATACATTTGCAGGACATAATGTGCAGTGCCCGTCATTGATATCAGATTTTAACGAAAGCTAGAATGTATTGATAAAATTTAATAAAACTGTCGAATATCAAGTGAAATGGAAATCCATTCGGTTGTTATATACGGACGGGCGGAAAGACACGGTGAAGCTAATATCACATTTCAGCGGTAGAGCACTCAAACGTAGCTTATAATTTGCTGTATCGTCGTGAACATCATGGAATTTTGCAGATACCTAGGGAAAATATTGAAATCAGTCATAAAGAAATAGTGTGAACTGGATTAATTCGGCTCAGGATAGGGATAATTTACTGTATCTTATGAATACGGCACGGGAAAGAGCCCTCGTATTCCATATAAGACGGGGATTTTTTGGATTGACTTGCCACTGTTACTTTATCAAGAAAGCATCTGTTGCATGCAGTTCGTTAGTTAGTTCGCTAGCCTGTTAGCACTGTAACTGCGTGCGGAACAGCCCAAGCACTTTCAAGACTACATCCCTGCCAGTCAGCAAGTTCTTGTACTTACGCGCGTCGATTCACATCCTCATATTTCACTTCACAGACTGGACAGTTTGTAGCGGTTTGTAGTCTGTTGGAATACTTCCATCAGATCACGGTTTCGGTTTACATCGTAGCAGTTGTGAACGGGGTTGCTAAGCTGATTACGTCATTCAGTTGCAGGCGTTGCAGGTGCGTGTTGCATGTGATCAGAGTGATGCATCTTTTTTCTTCTTTTTTTTTCCTTGGCATTACAGCCCCAGTGGGCCTAGGACTACCTCCATGAACTTCTCCGTTCACTTCGGTTATTCTAGATCTTACACATACGTTAGGACTCCTTGGGCGAGTGATCAGCTCGTCGCAAGGCAAGTGGTGCATCTACCAAGAATAAAAGTGGGGT